CAACAGGCCCTCAACACTTAACGACGGCCTCTGTTTCATCCTGCAGCTCGGAGTTCAGACCCTCTACACTGAAACTGAGCAGACCTGCCGGACAGTACCGGTCATTGGGCTAGACGAGTTGTTTAACGAGCGCTCGCCGCTCATGCCCAGGTCTCCAGATACCAGAGTAGAGATTAGTCCTACGAAGWCCCRTGCAGGTTTGGCARCAAGGCCCTATCCTTCATCCACAGAGTTCTATGACCTAGGACAGAAGAGACTCAATGCAGAAAGAATAGACAGACAGACTGTACTCAGCAAGTACCAAGGGGTATGTGCACATCCATACGGCAAGGGTAGGCTAAGGGCTTGGCGAGATGTTACCAACTCCAGCTTGGTCAAAGTCTTGGTCAACGCCTTGGTCAACAGCCTTGGTCAACGCCGGTCAACGCTGCTATGACCCTCGGTCAACTTCGGTCGACTCCGGTCAACGCCTCCGGTCAACCCTCTCGGTCAACTCCCCGGTCAGCTATGGCTGCCGGCACTTCTTCCTCGCCACTCCCCTTCTTCTTCCTTACCTCCCTCGCCGCCTTTCCCCCGCTGTCTTCTTCTTTCTCTTTTTTTCTTTTTTTTTTTTGTGTGTCGGCCTCCTTTTTACCTCCTAGCTATGGCCGCTTCTCTCCCTGCTCGGTCTCTCCCCCTCTGTCCTTCTCCCTCCTACTTCGTCACTCCATGGTACCGGCTCTGCGGCTATGGCCGCTGTCTTTCTTCTTCGTGGACTGCGCGGCAACTTCACAGGTACGTAACAGCCAATCTTGTATCACTCATCTCTCTCTCTCTCTCTCTCCCTCTCGCCGTAGCGGTGTCTTCAGCGCAGCAGGTACGTGTAACCCAATCTTGTATCCCTCATCTCTCTCTCTCTCTCTCTCTCTCTCTCTCTCTCTCTCTCTCTCTCTCTCTCTCTCTCTCTCTTCTTCTTCGTCGTGTCTTTCTTGTAGGTGCGCGGCGGCTTCTTCACCCTCAGGTCCGCTATGGCGGACTATCTCCCTCGGCTGCCACCTCGGCTATGGCGCATCARGCCCTGCATACGACGGCGCGCATGGAATAGCGGGTACCAGCTCCGATACCAATGCAATCAGACTCGTTCTCAAACACACTTTTCATGCATGTAAACAGCAACGCAGCATACTGGCATCATGCGCCCACTCAAAACTCAGAGAAATGGCTTTCAGGCACGAGTTCACTCTTAATTGGCTATGGCAACTTCAGCGCCCAAACAGCTCACTGTTCACATACACTGGATCACCCTAGATATCCCACACGCATCACTCTAACACTCGAACACACACACACACTCACTACTGACTACAGCTATGGCAGCTATCGCTGCATTTAACCTATCGCTAGACTAATTCCCTCTCTCTTGCCCACGGGCCACTGCGTCGTCCGGGCTCATCTGCAGACCTCCTTGCACAAGTCGCTGTGGCAGCGCTTCCGCATGGCTCACGCAGGAATGAATGAATGGCTGGGCGCTGCCTCTTGATTTATACTTCAGAAACTCGTTGGTCTGCCCTTTGCCATCGGCCCTTGGTGCTCACAGTCCCCCTRTGGTACTTGCTGGACCGGACTGGGACTGACTGGACCTTCCGCTGACTGACTGTGGACTCACCGCTATCCTACCGACGTTGTACTGCGGTTGCACTGCGGTTTAGTCCACCACTTGCCTCACCACTTGACCACTTGCCCACTTGCCTCACCACTTGACCACTTGCCCACTTGCCTACCTTCTAGAAGGTCTACAGCTAAGCTTCCTGAACTCACTAAGACTCCTACGCTATAGACCTACAGATCGAACCCCTGCTGCCTATGGACCTACGACAGGCCTACCAACTGCCTACGAATACACAGGTCACASGTTCAATTCCCGGGGCCTACACAGATACTGTACATGGGTAAGGTGAGGGCTAGGGATCGAACCCTGGGTACTGCATCCGCTACTGCTAAAGGTGAAAACCGTTTCACAGGGCCGGAAAGGCCCTGATTTAGGCTGAAACGACACAGGGCCTGTAGGCTCTTGTTTTCAGGCTTTCAGGCTGAAAACAACATGGGGCCTGTAGGCCCTTGTTTTCAGGCTTTCAGGCTGAAAACAACATGGGCCTGAAAATGGCCCGTGCAGCCTGTTGCAGGTGCAGCATGTAACAGAGACACAGAGAGAGAGAGAGAGAGAGAGAGAGAGAGAGAGAGAGGATGGTGCATTTGTGTCTTTGTGCCTGTGTTGTCATATTCGCTATACACTGAAAAAAAGCATGACTGTGCCAGACTGTGCACGTGTATGTGCGTGTGTATATGTGTGTGCGTGTGTGTACGTGTGTGTGCGTGTGTGTACGTGTGTGTGTGTGTTTTAGATTTTCCCCACAACAGCCCCAATTCCACCCAGGTGAATAGATTCAGAATCAAAGCAGTCTTTATCCTATTGCAGACAATGAGAGCATTTGAGATGTCCAACATATTAAAGAAATTTTATAAACAGTTTTTTGGTTGTCCTTGGGGTACCCCTTTCATTGTTCTTGCAACTCCCCTTTTACTGTGCCTTTTACGCGCAAGGCTGCCCACGTTGATTGTGGTTGACGGCCTGGTAACGCGTCAGGCGTGACAGCATGCACTGCCCCAGTACTGCGGTGCGATAGGCCCGGCAACACGCGACGTTACCGGCGCTGGCATGTGGGCTTCGAACCGGAGGGCGGGATCCCGGACCGGTACCAGCCCTGGCGCGGTGCCACGACGGTTCAACTTCTAAGGAAAAACGATCAGCAGACGATCTTGACCGTCGTGCTGCAAAAAGTCGGAGGGCCCCGATTGTCTGCTTGTCACAGGCAGGAAATTCGCGATAGTTATCTATGTAGTGATTTCGCAGGTCTTTCCGAGGTGGTGTCAAGCTGCTGCCGTCCTAGGTCTACGTCGAGTTCGTTAGGCTGTGAACGTTTGAGACCCTGCTGGACTGGCCACAACATCCCTTTTTTTGCCCTTTTCTTTTCTTTTTTATGTCTTCCCCCTGATGGAACGCCACCCACCTCCTCTCAACATTTCTCCCCAGCACCCCCCCACTCGCTCAGCCCTACCTTAGCCTCTACCACTCAGGCCAATCACCCCTTACCCTCTCTCTAGGTACGATGGCCTGACTGAACAGCGGTTGCAGGCACAAGCGCCAAGGATACACCATGCAGCCCTGGTGGAAGCATATTCGAGCCCAGCCTGCCTGTCTGCATCGTTGAGTAATTCTCAATTGCACTTTGGCCTTTGCAATTCTCTAAAATCAAAGGCTCAAAGAGGGAGACTGTGAGATTTTTCAGTTCACATTCCAATTTTTGGTTTTCTGTTACCCACCGTAGGCTCCGTAGGTAGATTGACCTTGTGGGAGCGAACAGAGGTCGCAGTAGCTGCACGGGCATGAGCTCAGGGCGCCCACTAAATGACCCGTCTGGCCCCAATGCCTGGTACTGACCAGCCTGCGGTCGACTGGTACTGACCAACGTGCGCGAAGCAAGTCGACCAGTCCCAAGTGTTAAGGGTTATAGAATTCATAGGGCGCAGGGCCTCAAAACCGGTTTGGGTATCATCCACCTGGGCACATCATCCTCAGATTCCTGAGGACTTACGGTCCTCCTTAAGTTGGCTGCTGGCCAGCCTAAGTGCACATCATCCTCGGACTCCTAAGGACTTACACTATCCGTAAATTGGCTGGCTGGCCGGCCTAGAATGATATCATAGCTCATTAGTAAGAAGAATCAGCGTAAGCAGAGTCAGCGATGTAACGTTATAAGAGGTAGAGTCTACATATCGAAGGTGGCGGAATGGGGTGAATATTGTACTGCCAACAAGCGAGGACAATTATCTCACTTTCTCACTTAGTCATCTGGCAACCATTGCTGCGCTTTTCTTTCCCTCGGGGTTCCTGCGTTGCTGCGACTATCTTGTTCAATACCCCCCTTGCTGATAGAGACGGGAGACACAGGGTAGACCCTCTGTGGGGTTTCACCAGTGCGATCAGGGTTTGAGTACCCCATGGGATAAGCACACCCACAATTTTAAGTTTTAACCAAAAATTGACAAATTTGCACCGTTCATGATCAATTCTGCACTCAATTGCTGGACGCGATACAATGGACCATGGACATCAAAAGGCTGATAGGAAGCGGAAGTACCTGACTGTTGCCCCGACTGTATACGCATCTACGAGTCTAGGACACAACTAAAGATTCACGACTCAACCTTTGCTGTCTCTGTTGGTTATGCTGACTGAATTCTCTTGGATATGCTGGCTGAATTCTCTTGAATAAGCTGTCTGAACTCTCTTGGTTATGCTGACTGAACTCTCTTGGATATGCTGACTGAACACTCCTGGATATGCTGACTGAACACTCTTGGATACGTCAACTGAACTCTCTTGGCTATGCTGATGCAACCATCATCCTCATTCTTTTGGTCGACAAAGGACAGGAGAGGAGAATTTGGCAACATCAGCAGCAACTGGACAGCTACCTAGGCTGTGAAATGGGCCATTCAATAAATGGCCTAATTATTCCAGTAGCTCCACACTTTGGCTCATTTGACCCAACACCCCTGTCAGAATGCACCGTCACGAGCTCTTGCAGCTTACCTACAACCTAACGCACGAGTTCGATCAACCTGCAGACACCAGTTGCTATAGGTGTTTCTTTACCCTTGTGGGCAAAGGTTACGCTGATTGATCTCATTGAACACGTTCACAATTTCGCACTCGTAATCAAACAGGATACAATTGAAAAATACCAACAGGCCTGGCTCAGTTGGTACACCCATGAACTGTTGAAAGTCGAAACACAGACCTCAGTTCGAGTGCCCGTTGACTTAGATGAGTTAAACAAAAAAAACAAGGATGATTGAAGGATCCGATTAAAAAAGAAAGGTTAAAAAAAAAACAAGGACGATTGATTGAAGAATCCCATTGAAAAAATAGGTGCTTTATTGACGGTTTGTTGCACTACCTGATAGGGTTTCTTGAGATTGTTATACTTGTTCTCATGCTGAGTGGCAGTGAGAGGGAACTTCGTAAGTTCAACAACGCACTCCCATTTCCGCACACTGGTAACCATTCCTCGCCTTTTCTTGAGTCTCATGTTGACGTCCCGAACAGCCTCGAGGAGCATAATTACGCGTTCCTCGCTCCACCAGAATCGGCTTCCATCCACAGCTCTGGACCATCGCGATAACGCAGAGTTGTTTTGGCCATCCTCTCGTTCATCACCCTCACCGTCACAGACTGGTGTCTGCGTTCCCACATCTTGTGCCGGTCCTTGCACGGCTGCGTCAGATACGTCAACAGCGGGCCCATCCTTGGGGTATCCCTCCTGAACAACAGTCTGCATGGGCAGAGGATTGCATGGCTGGATGTCTGCTGCTGCCTGGATGTCGGCTTCAACCATCACTAGATCCTCGGCTGTGGTCATCACGCAAGCAATACTCTCTAGACCAACCCCAGCCTCACAGGTCTCTATATTCTCCTTCTGCCCAACCACCGGGTCATCGGAGCACAGCACCACACCCTCCTCCGTCCTCGCAGAAGCTCCCCCATCTGTGGGAACTGCAGCAGTGCCGTTGGCAGTGACCATTGCAAGGTCCTCATTCACGGTGCCATTCTCAATTACTGCCACAAATCCGTTTACCGGTGTTGCTAGTCCATTCATTTTATCATCTTCTGCCAGTGCCGCTTGACTTCCACCATTGCTTTCACTTCGGTCACCCCCCACATGCGCCCCCGCGCTACCTCCTGCCGCAACTGACCCTCCTGCTCCTGCTACACCCGTCACCACTGTAGAAGAGGTAACACCTGCTCCCACCCCTGTGGTCCCAGCAGCAGGAGCTGCTGTGCTCACCGTGCTTGCAGCTGCGGGACCCACTCCTCGGACAGCAGAGGTTGCTGCCGGTATCCTCCGACGTAGCGATGGACTCCCTGAGTTGCTGCCGTCCTTCGTTCCCCCCACCTTGGAGCGAACGCTCTGCATCTCTGCCCCAAGCCATTGAGAGGTAGGAACTGGCGGCGACGGAGGGGTTCGAAATGGGGCCGACAGCGCGGACACTGAACTTGGGTTAGGGGAGGATGGCACCTGGGCAGCCGCCTGTGGGAACGATAAATAGGGATTCAAATAAGGGTTCATACAGTAACCAGTCGTCGACGGATAATTGAATCCAAATAGGGGAGACGATTGGTATAGGGACGGGGAAGTGGAGGGACAGCTGCTGTGCCGTTGCAACAGCGATCGTGCTTCACTCGACATTGCCTGGCCCATGGGAGGAGTCTCGCATTCTTCCGCGACACCTGAAGAAGAGCTGCTTGAATTGCAATTTTTGGAACCAAATTCGTTTGATTCCACAAAGAAAACACAAACAAAACAGAAAGGTGAATCAGTCCAAGGTCCAGTTTACAGGACACACCAAACAACAAAGCCACCGGCAGACAGGGAGATTCCGTGAACGAAAATTGCTGCCACTTTGATAGGATCTCCATCCACACCCATGAACAAGTTGCGACCGAACTAAATATCTTGATACCAGTAGGCAAGACTATTATCAATGGTTGCTGTGGTGACATAAGCACCGGCCAATTCGACCACCAGTTTGAAGTTTCCTAATGGCCTCAGACAGTATCCTCAACGCGATCACGGAATACGATAGAATCACAGAATCTGCACTACAACGGGGCACCCATCAAAATTGTAACAATAAAAAGAAGATTAGCATGGCTCCTGCACACAAGGACGAAACACATGAATCAAGAAATTGTCCTAACCTTTTGGAACTGTCTGAAAAAAACAGAAAAAAAAATGCACCACAACATGATTATACAAAAATACACGAATGTGTTTGTACATGGCTGCTGGCCGAGTAGCCTCTGAGGATCCTACTGGTTGTAATCAAGATTCCACATCGAATGCCGAACTAAACCACACATCAACAAAACCACCTGAAAGGTAAACAGCGGGAGGGACGAACAGATACCACCACCAATTCCAACGGACAAGACACACACACGCGCACACACGCACACACACACACACACACACACACACACACACACACACACACACACACACACACAACCACACATCAACAAAACCACCTGAAAGGTAAACA